TTTTGCTCATCTTAATAAAGAATAAATGTTAGGAACATATTTCTTCTCAACCCATTCACCAACTGTGCACAGTTAATTCACATTGCAACAGTAATATAAGTCAAGATCTAAGCTTACTAAAAAGCACCTCAGATGCTTTTAGTATATAATGCTGTTGGATATACCTCAGGTGCCAGGCTGAGAGTAGTGGAAACTGGCAGTATGACGAAGTTGAGATTTTAAGTCCAACTTCCCCAGCACAGCACACAAAAGCAAGGGGCAAGACTCCGGATAGCAACAGTAGAAATGTAAATCCCAAAACTGATAACCACATTACAAGACATTAGTATGCATGGTTCTCCACTCTCAAACCAGCTGGAAAGCATCCTGATTTTGGCTGTGCAGGAATCATTCCCAAAGCAAGGCCTTCAGGTGGAAAGGAAGTGTTCCAGCAATGAAGGATTACATGGCTAACCTGAACAGTGTAAGACTGAAGGACCTCAGAATTTGCTAGAAGCTACTATTTTAATCTAGCAGCCTTTAAACTGCAGTAGCATTATAGGGGGAACAAGGGAAAAGGCGGGCAGACTGTAACATTTGGAAGGAAAGGTAGGAATTTAAGCTACTGTGGCTATACTCCCTTCTACACATCTGAGTTCTGAGAGCAACTATGTAACAATGAGAATTTATTCCCATACACATTTCTTCTTTCTCAAAGTTCCTGCTCATCACCAAATGGTTTGGCTTAGCCACTAGCACATCCCATAGTCCAATACACTCATTATCAGCAGTGATTTTTTTCCCCTCCTTTCTTCATTTGTAGCACCTCCATCTTGACAACACAAATCTCAAGGAGGAAGACATCACCAACTAAAAGCTTCTACCATTTCTTAAACTGATCATTTTTGCTTTGTGGAAGTTAAGGCCAACATGCAGCTCTTCTAGTACTAAAAATGGTTCACAACATCATCACCTACTGATTTCTACTACTTGGAATAGTTCCTCTGAAGAGGAACAGATTTCTCATAATGCAGTTGATATTAAAGACTTCTGGAAGATCAAGATCAAGAATGTAAGTTATAACTTTCCAATAACAGCAACAAAAACATGTCCACCTTTACAGGGACCTCACCTACTTCAATGTTCCAATTCTCTACTTTGATAAAAAAGCATCTAATTGTAGGGTATGCTCAATATGGAAGAATCCAAAAATACAGACAATTGCACCTTTTCAAAGCAGTAGGAGCCATCTTTATCTCATTTCAGAATTCCCAAGCATGCCAGCCAATATTTTATCTTTGAAAATCTGTCTTACATGAATGACAACCTACAGCTTTAAATCTGAGTCACATTCTAGAACCAGTCTTAGGACTGAAAATCGATGAGCCTACAGAAATACAGAATTTAACTACTGCTTGAAGAGCCTCAAGGTGAATGTCAGTTCATTTTATATAAAAATACCAGGAAGCCTCATGCATCCCTTCTGCTAACAAAACAATGAAAGCTAATACTATTAAGAACAACATAATACATTTGGGTATTTAATAATGCTAAAATTATAGGGTTTCATTTCTTATTTCTATCCAATGACATACACTTTTCTAGAACCTTTGACATGAAAAATATTGAATTAAGCAGATTCATACAGTGAAGTCCAGTAATTTTTAAACATAAAATCCCATTTGCAGTACTGATTAGAAGCAGCATTAACTGAAGACAGAAGGGAAAACAATCACCAAGAAAATTTAGTACTGAGGGGTTCAGGGGCACAGCAGGAAAATCAGAAAGAGGAAGACAATGAAACCTCACCAGAAGAAGATGGATTGGGAAATCTAAGTATCAACTGAAAACATAATCTCACTTGACTAGTTCTCAATTCTTCTTGCTCACCCCACTCCACCATTCAGTGACACTTGACATCCCACAATGAGAAATACTCAGTTCTCCAAGCTAACAACTTAAATTCATTCCCAAATCTATCTATAAATTGTAAGCAGTTTCATATTTCAGTTAATAAATAAAACTCTACAACTCCTTCCCTTCATTTCTCTCCCCTTTCTCTTGTGTCCTGCTAAAACAAAATCCTTCATTCTTCTTTGTATTTAAATGAAGATTCCTCAGTAACAATTTCTAGTTTTCTCCCAGTCTTAAGTCTTAGCTGCCAAGTGCCTATCACTACATAAAATCTAAAAGCTAATGGTAGAAATGAAATGTTGATACTCTGTATGTTAATGTTTAATTCTGGGATAAACTGTAGAGGAGCTATTGAGAGATGCATGTCAACAACTTCTCTGGAAGTTTTAAGCAGCAGAACATTTTTTGTGAAGGAAGCAGAGGGTTGCTTAATTTTTTTTTTTTTCCTTAACACATGTTTTCTTAACACATGTAACTCTCAGCACAGCTGAGTGAAAGCAGGTTAACACTGACATGGGTGGTATCCTTATTTAAGAAGGCTCTGGTTCTGGTATTACCACTGCTAGTGGCAGTTTGGTCCAACAACAGCAGATGAGAAATTGCTATGATTTTTCTAATTTTCACAGATTTCTGGGAAAACAGAAAATCAAGCCACTCTTCCTTGATCTGACCCTTGACAAGCTGCCTCTCAGCCAGCACATACAGTCTTGGTCAACTAGTGCAACTATTCCCTGAGGATTAAAAATGGGTATAGACATGGAGTAACAGAAATGACTCATCAATACACAAAAATGCATGCGAGAAGAGTAGAGTGGTGATGGCACCGCTCTTCTAGCATTCACTAGTCAAGCAACCAGAGCCACGAGGACAGGGAACTCCAGCCTTAAAAAAGAATCTATTTCTTTTTATTATTCTCAGGCATACCTATCTTACGTGGGGATTAGGAATGAAGGCTGCACTCTGCCTGCACCGGCTGAGATTTCCAACTTCTTCCACCACTAGGGTTACATTATCAGATCTGACTTTTTGCTACAGTACAGGCTGGACATTGCTGGGGCTCTTTTCAATAATTTTAAGTGTAGCTTCTACCCAGTTAACTCCATGTTGTGGAAATATCAGCAAAAGCTGAGAAAGAAGGTGATGTGGATACTACTATAAACATTATCAGACCTGGTCAGATCTGCAAATTAGTATGAGTAATGGAACTATTTTGCACAGTTTGCTTCTAATTCTGACACAGATGGCACTTAAACAAGGATTCCAGACTTGGCAGATTTCTTCAAAGTCAGTGCCAAGGCCAGGATAATCCTTTCTAGCAATTTTCTCCTTGATTTCTGAGCTACCAACTTCCAAATAAAATAGAATTTCTTATCTGCTGCTCCCTTTCTACAGCCATGCACTGAACAAGCTCTGACAAATACAAGACCTTCAAATACTGAACCAAGCAACACCAAAAGAGTAATGAATCCCTACAAGGCACAACCCCCATTTCTTAACCTTTATCTTCAGGTGGGTGTATCACAAGGAAGACAAAAATTAGTGATTCAACGAAAAGGAAATTAAAAAGAAGTAAAAATATCTTCCTTGAGGTAGTTCTGACTCTCCAGCTCTTAAATTATGCCAAGTGTGGCATAATGAACAATGACTGTTTTTAAGGCCAGCATTAATCAACAATGGCTGTTTTCTAAAGTTAGCATTCACTACCAAAAGGAAGATGAGCCAAACCCAGACAACAGAGCAAAAACAGTGCAAGGGACACGTGTGTACATTTCCCTGCAATGGACACGTGTGTACATTTCCTCACACAAAACTACTTTTGAGAAAGTTCTTTAGTCACAGCATTAGGCAAATAACCAACAGAGCCAACTCGGAAGAGAATGGAGACACACTCATGAAGAATAACCAACTGCAAATTTGCACTGACCATTATATTCTACTCTGAGATGAATCTTAATGTTATCAGCACAGACACATTACAGGAGAAGAAGATACACTAGAAATCTCATATCATTAAAACAGACATTTTGTTGATTTATTCTAATAAAGATGATGAAAAGTCTTCAAAGCTGACAAGAGCTCATTGACATAGGCTTTCACACAAGACAGGGAAAAAGGACAGACATACATTTTAAAAAAATTAATTGCTGTTCAGGGTCTAGATAAACACCTCCGTCAATATCAATATGAGTTTGCATATAGAGACAGTTTAGCATACAGTACAAAGACTCCGTAGTCAGATTATGAATTTTACCAATTATAAGCCTTTATAAACATCAGGCAAAAAAAAGAGCTTGTTTTTTGTTGGTTTTGTGTCTGTGTTTGTTTTTTAAGATTGCTCTTATAAGGCCACATAAAAACTTTAAAATAATCAGACAAAGGATAAAAGAGGAGACTATTCCAGTAAGGGTCTATTAACAACTGATTGTTTATCCCAGGTAAAAACAAAAGCCACACATTTGAGCAGAAAGTAGTCTCACAAGTTCAAAATCATTGTTTTTAAGAACACTTCAGTTCAGTGAGTTAAGTGCACTTGGGAGATACCTAATTTTACAGTTTTCTAAAATAATTAATTCAGAAGCAATACTACTTTTACTAATATTAAAGTCCTACGCACTGAAATTTCAGATCAAGCCTCTGACAGATCTTAATGTTTCCAACAGGCATGCAGTCATTCATTCCAGCTCTGCACTCTGGCTTTCTGAGGACTGTACTCCAGAATTTCTGCAGATTGAGTAGCTGGCACAGAGAACGCAAGATATAAGTAATACTATTTTCAGTGCTCCTTTATAGAAAACCAGTGCATATCTCTTCAGACCTGAGAACACTTACAATCTTCTCACGTCATCCAAACAACAAAGAAAATAAGTTGTCATGTATATTTCAGACATTTAAAAAAAAAGTATCTTGCTCCATACTGCCAGTGAAATACCTCCAAGCTATGCTTCACCTACCAGCAACTGAGAAGAGGGTACATACTTCAAACACAAAAGATGCCACACACAACATAACCCAAAAATCATGAGAATTAAACATCAACAGGATGGAAAATAGGCACCAGCTACTACTGCAGGCAATTAAAAGACAAAAAAAAATCAAAACCAACCTACCAATCCAGTTATCCATCAGAGACTCTGCAGCTACTGCGGCTCTTACATGACTTGCAGCCTTTCTGATCAAGGGCCGTCACAGGACACCTAAGTGGTAAGAATTTCACATTTCAAACTTGGAATACCTACCAGCAATTGCCAGTTTTCAAGAAGCACAGGGATACCTCTTCCACTTTTTTCCATTTTAAAATACTGAAACACAGTGAAGACATTCAATGTAAGGGTTTTTTTTTTTCATTTGTCCTATTCCTGTAAGTAAACTAACCTCTGATTGTCTATCTCCTTTGCGGCAGGGAGCAAAACGACTTTGTCAGAAGACCCCTGCCCTTAACTCATCACCTAAGTTTCTATATATGGTTTCTCCTCTAAGCTTACAGTATTACGATGAAGCTCCACAAGGGCAGAAAAAAGAACACTTCATAGGTATCATCACAACAGTCTGTGCATTTTCACCACTGAATGAGGAGAAGAAGCCCATCCAAACCAGTCCCCCTAGCGACTCAGTGGGAGTCTGAAGAGATGTGGCAAATCACTACTCTGTCTTTTTGTGTGTGAGGCTAGCTTTCTATTTTTGCTTTGGGGTTTTTCCCTGGTAGAAGACATAACCCCTTACAGAAACTAGGCAACATTTTAACCCATTCATCAAATTTCCCTCTACTTCTGAAAAAGTTTTAAAATATTTTGTACACAGAAAATTAAATCTGTATCCAGCAGATACCGTTAAAATATGCTGACCTGTTGGCAATTGCCAGGTCTGATTTTAACACAAAACTTTGTTTAGCCTGGTGCTTTCTAGTCTTTCCAGCACTGATACTGTCTAAAAAGAGGCTAAGAATATTTAAAAGACATTTGATTTATTGCCATTTCCAACCTGGCATCCATACATTCCAGAATACATGCATAACAGTCAGTGCTGTGAAAATGTTTCCAGTCGTATTTTTAAGAGTGCTATGTGAAATACATACAGAAAAAGGTAAGACCTAACAACTGTTCAAATGCCTCCACTGGCTAATTTCAATTTCAAAATGCATGTAGGGAAAAAGTAGTCTTTATATGCTGTGTACCAGTAGCCTTGTTCTAAGCTGAACAAAGCAGGAGACACCGTACTCAGGTGAAAACACAAAAATCGCTTGTCTGATGTTCTACAAAGAAGAAAAACCACTTGCTTGCTAAAACTGGGCACAGGAGAAAAACTAGGAATCTCTCCAAAAAGTGTTACATAAGGCATTGTCAAACTTCACGTCACCTCCACAGGGCCGCAAGTTGCTATTTTCCCCCATCCCCCGGTGCGCAGGGATTAATGATCTAAATGACACACTTCTTGGATAGGAGGTAATAGCGGAAGCTTTCCCAAAAGAGCGCTTCCCGGGCTGGAGGCTTGCAGGGGAGGCTGGCGGGAGATGGGCAAATCACCCTGCTCGGCTCAGCGTCCCAGCCCAACTCCGGCTCTGCCCCCGGCTCCCGTTCGGTCGGGCAGAGCGCTCACGCCCCGCGGCTCGACTCCCTCCGTCCCAGCGCGGCCGCCAGCGCCGGCTCTCCCGGCCGCGGAGCAGAGGGCGTGCGGCGTCGAGCCAGCGAGCGGAACGGAGAACCCTCCCTCGCCCGGAGGGACGTGCCACTTTGTGCCGGGAAGCGACACGCGCGCCTCCGCCTGAGCATCTCTTAAATTCCGGATCTGACGGGGATTAAAATCCAGCACATAAAGATGCCAGCCCGGCCCTCCGGACTCGGGTGCCCCCTCCCCGGGCTGCTGGAAGGGAGACACTCACCGATTGTTTCTTGCCCTCCCCCGCCCCTCGCCTCCAAAAGCAGCAGAGACTCGACGAGAAGGTGCTTACCTTCCCCGGGTGGCTCCCGGGCCGGGCGCTCAGCGCCAGCCGCTCCGCGCAAGCAAGCGCTCTTTCCCCCTCCTGCGCTCCAAGCGGGCAGCTCCGGCTCCGTCCCCGCAGCCCGGCGCTCCGGAGGTGTCAGCCAGTGGGTCCCAGCTGGGGCGGCAGAGGCAGCTCCACTCTCCGCGGGACGAGGAGCCGCTAACGGTGGGAGGAGGAGGAGGGCGGTGGCGAGGTCCCGACTCTTCCCGGGATGCGCCGCCGAGGTGGCCGCCTCCTCCGCCGCCCAGCTCAGCTCTCTCCGGGGCCTGCCCGCCCCGCGCTGTCCCGAGGTGCAGCCCGGCCGCGTCCGTCCGTCCGTCCCGCTCGCCTTCCCCCGCCCTCTCCCCGGCGGCGAACCGCGCGGCGCACAGGCCCCGCCGGCGGCCAGGAGGACCCGGGGGCAAAGGGGGATTCCGGCCCAGCCTCCTGCCCGCTCCCCGGGGCCTGGTGCACACTCTCCGCGGGGAGAGGAGGCCCTGCCCCGGCCTGGCGATCAGCTCCAGGAAGGTCACCAGCACGGCGGAGCCGAGCACGGAGAGGCTCCCTCCGGAACCGCCGCGGTCGCTGCTATTGCTGCCGGCCCGGAGTCAGCGACCGCTGGGTGCCGCGCTCCGACCGGGTTCGCTCCGTGCCCGTGCCTGGAGACCGCCCCCGAGTCTGAGTGCCAGGCTGCCCCCTTCCCCTTCCTTCCTTCCTTCCTCGCCTCCCGCCTCTTCCCCGCTGTCAGCCTTCCCCCGCCGGCTCGCTCCGGCGCCCGGTGCCAGGCTGCCCCCTGCGGGTGCCGGGGCCGCGGCTGCCCGCCCAGCGGGCCGAGGCGGAGCCGGGAGCGGCCGCCGCTGCCCTCGGTGGGTGCCGGGAGCCGCACGCCAGCCGCCGCGCTGCCCCGGGCTGGCTCAGCGGCGGCTGCAGCGCCCGTGTGTCTGTGTCATGTCTGTGCATGGGCGGGCGGAGGCGCGGGCCGAGGCGGGGCCAGCCCGCTCTCACGCCGCCCAGCGACAGGCGCCGAGCGCCCAACCAGCAGCGGCGGCCGCCGCCGCGCAGCGCCCGCCCGCGCAGCGGGGCGCCCCGGGCCGCTACACCTGGGCAGCGCCGAGGGGGCCCCGCCGCCGTGACAGGCAGCCCGGGCCGCGGGCGCAGCGCCGGTCCCGAGCGCCGCCCGGCGCGGGTAAGTGCGGGGAGGGCGCGGAGCGGCCCGGCCCGGCCCGGCCCCCGCCTCGGGCGCCGGCGGCGCTGGAAGACCCAACTCCGAGCGCCGGTACCGCGTCAGGAATGAATAAATATGACGGCTTCTGGCTTACATGTGTGTTTGTAAGGAGCGTGTCCCTGTGATGTGTCCTTTCGTGCTGGCAGCTGCTGAGAGTCGAGTGATAAGCGCACCTTTTGTTATTTCTTTTTTTTTTTTCCCCGTGAGCATAGAGCAACCATCAACGCGGTTTTTTTAATTCATAACTGTACTTCATGAGCAGTGTAAAATGGATTTTTGCAATACATCAGCATTCTCAGAGTACTGTATGATAAGCTGTGTGTATGGATGTATAGTGTGCCTGAAATTCCAGTAGGAATATGCAAGGAGAACAGAAATGAACAAATGTGCATACAATCCCATTTTAGAAAGGCATTGATCCATTCTTAGAATGGAAGATGAAGCAAAGTATACATGTGCTTTGAGTAGCAATGTATATAATCAAAAGTATGAGTAATTGGGTTAGTAATCAGGATTTAACTGTTTTCTTATAGAAAGATAAGGGAATAGTTTAGTGTTCTCTAAAAAGATACCGTGAATGCTAATTTCTCTCATTACATCAGCTGCTTGAATGCTGTAACTCATGCAGAAGTTTCTTTATTGGGCAAAAATTATGTTTTGCAGTATACTGTACCAAAGTATTGTGAACTTTGGAACAGATTATTCATAGCAAGATAGTATTTGGCAGACTTGATTAAGGTATTGGTTCATCAAGCTTATTATTCTACCACCAGCAGCATCCTTTTCCTGATGCTTTAGTCAAGCATGATATCAGATGAACTGAAGTAAATCATGATGTTGGATATGCCACTGATAACACAAAACTGTTTAGTTTACTGACTGAAAATTTTGACATACTGTGGTAACTAGGAGAACATTTTGCAGGGGGGAAAAACCCAACTCTGCTCATCTGTAAAAATAATTTAGTTCTTTTAGGAAGGATATTCTAGAATAGCTGTGGTTGCATACAGATTGGTGTCTATGTGCTTATTTTCATGAGCAAATCAAAGCCAGAAATGAGCTGTACTGAACTGACTAATTTTCTCCTTTCTCCTATATGAAGCTAAAGGATTAGCCTTAAAGTAATAATGTTCTCTTGCACTGTGGAAGGATTGCAACTGCTTTGGTGACAGTCAATGAATGAATTTCTGGGGATGTAGGGAGGATGAAGCAGGGCTGTGTGTACAGCTTCATTATTAAGAAAGTCAGGCTGTCCCCTCTCTGTTACTATAATTTTCAGCAGTTCCATAGTTTCCAGCCTCATGCTATGTTTTCAAAACTACTAACTTGCCAGAGTCGGATCCTACATAATATTGAACAATTTCTGGAGGTTCTTAATGTTCTTATCTTCTGTTTAGAACAGGGAACTCTCAGAACCCACAAGAATTCTTAGGGTTTAAGAGCAGCATGGATTATTAGGATTATCTAATATGCTACCATACATGACAGATGATAGAACATCATACTGGGACAAAATGTCTTGCTTCCAATTGCTCTCTATCTGTCAGGTTGGTGACGTACTCACAAAAGGACAACAGTTGTCCAAACCCAGAGCAATGTTTGTCAGAGGCTCCAGCTGAGAATGCTTACCACGATGTTACAAAACCTGACAGGGACAGGAGGAATGCCTACCTATGAAGATAGACTTTTTCAGAAATTGTGTTTATAAGCAAGTAATCTTTTTCATAGTCACAATAAAATTGCTCTATCAGTCTTTGTCCTTGAGAATCCTGAAGTTGCAATTGCTTTGGACATTGAGTAAACAAGCAGTGCAGAAGGATACTTGTGCCAAGGACAGGTAGAAGAAATTAGATGCAAATATTTGCACTTCAGATGTCATTCAGCCAGGAGGAAGGTTTCTCTAGAAACTACACGGGTTCTGGAGTGAGATGTCTATTTGCATGTTAAAGAAATAAACAAAAAAGCAAAACCTATAGTAATGTCAAGCATATAACTTTTTTTTGTAATGATCGTTTCATTAGGTAAAAATCTCAAAGCTTCAATAGTCCTATTATTTAAAAATTTTATAAACCAGATGTTTATCTTTAAATAGAAATGTGTCAATTTTGTAATGTTGTTAAAGTATTGATTTATAGTGATGTAAAATTATAATGTGAGTATTTGGTCTCATTTTTTCTTTACTGGAATAAAAGATAAGGCACAACAGTTCAGAAGATCAAACAGATTATAATGTTACTACACCAGAACATCAGTAAATAAAATTATAATGTCTGATCATAAGACCCTGCACACTTACAGATTATCTGTTTTTTGATTAAAAGAATAAAATTAGTTTCCATTTTACCATTTCTTGTGAAAGGGAGGTGTTAGGCCCACAAGTATTCAAACTTATAAAAGTGCATGAAGTTCATCTCCCATTTAACACCAATGAAGTCCTTTTTACATTCTTACAGTTGCTTCATTGTTCTAGCTGAATTCAACCACTATGAGGTCTTTTGAGAAAAAAAGACAGTGCTTTGTTCAGAAGGCGACTGAAAAGTGCATTACTACTTTAAATAGTGCAATTTGTGCCAGTTGAAATAGAAGCTAAAATATGCCTGAAAACCGGGAGGTTATTTTGTCCCCATTCCTACACACACTCTTGTGGCTGATCAGCATTTTGAATACCTAGTGAGGTAGATGCTGCTCTGGCACACTCAGGATATGGGATATGCACTGGCAAAGCCGAGTTCTCCATTGCCTTCTTTTATGTGGAGTTGATGAAATAGCTACTTTTCATAAAATCAACCATTCAGAGTCTTGTCACAGTGAACAGAAAGTCAAATCTGACTTAGCGGGCTAGTTGGATTGTGCTAACTGATCCACAGAAGGTTGTGACTCTTTGTTTGTGGATTGCTTTTCTTCTAAATGCTAAAATGTGCATCTTGCTTATAGTATCAGAGCATGGAGAGCAAGACCAAAAGTCTGAAGCAAGTTCTAACCCTTGAGATGCTTGTTACCATCTGCTGCTGCAATGAGTACAGCACTACTGCAGAACAGGCTGCCTGGCATGTCGTGTGGTAGGAAAAGGCATTTAGACAAGAAATAAGTGAAATTTAATCTACTTGGGAAAAATAAATTCCCAGTTCTTGAGCATGAAGTAGAAGCTCTGTTAAATATGCTGTCCACTATGGGCAGTAAATTAAAATTTAATGGAGATTTTCCTGTTACAGAAAAAAAAAATCCAAAAACCAAAAAACAAAAAAATCAAAACAACAAAAGCCAAGAAAGAGCAAGATTCAGATTGCCTGGCATGATAGGAACTGGAGAAAAATAAACACTGATAAACGGAATGCCTTTAAATAGCCAAAAAACACCATAAAAGCCTAAAACTTTAAGAATGCAAAGGAAATTTACTTATTTATTCAGAAATTACTTCTCTTATACCAAAATAGCATTTAGACAATAGTTTAGATTAGAAACAGTTAACCCAGATTGTTCTGTTTCTCTCATTATATCAGGTGCTGCTACATCAGAAGATGTCATTTTCATGTTGGTTTCTCCCAGATTTCAATTGTGCTTCTAGTTGTAAAATGGTAAACACCCATAACTAGAGGCTTACCTAGCATTATGCCTTATAAGAAAAATATTGTGAAGGAAATATGTTGCTTTATATTTCTGACAGAACTCTCTGCGTACTTTTCTTTCATTGTTGCCATTTACTACTTTCCATTTGTTGTGATTCAGTCATTTAGAGAAGAGTTGGGGGGTTTTGTTCTTTTGGTTGTTCTTTTGGTTGGTCTTTTTTAAGGTTAGTGATTTTAAACCAATAAAAACTAATGAAGATATGCAGAATAAATATGATGCAAATTTAAATTTATGAAGATAATCTGATTTCATGTTGATAGTACTTCTATAAATTTTGACCTACCATGATGATGTGTTTTCACTTACAGAAATAATTGTTATTATTTTGATAATATGTTGTACATAATTTAGAAAACAATTTCATACGCTATTTATTTTTTCACATTTTTTTTATGCCAAGGAATCTTAACCCCTATGCTATTTGCGGCAAAATTCTGGATAATTTGCAGTACCTTAATTGTTCTGTGCTAACACGTGTCATTGCCTTTACAGAGTCACCTGGGAAAAAAAAGTATCACTGGACAAACATTTAAATAATTTCAAATTTCACTGGCTAGGAAGGGGACAGTGACGCAGGCACTCTTAAGCCTAAATCAAGGTATGTCAAGGTCCGTGGAGCAGCTGCATTGATTTCACTGCTATTCAAGCAGAAATATCCTTGATATCCTAGTCTGTGTTCTGGGAAAACATATATATACACACACACTTCTATGAGGTTTTTTTAAATAATTGTTTCTATTTGACTGCTTCACCTCACTGCCTAGCAAACAGTGGATCTAGTGTTTCTTTCTTTTTACTGTGTTTCCTTTGTTACACTTGGCCATTTATTTCCCTGCACTGTGAATGCTGAGACTAAGAAAAGCCTTAACTGAATTGTAGACATGTATAATTAATATCTGCCAGCCTTTCTAGAAATATTGAAGCACAGTGTGTATTATTCCTCCAGTCTTAGCCTTATACATTTAGATTTTAATTCATCTGAGGACACCTTTCACTGGTGAAAAAGAGGATACTCTATCTGATCCCAAGATCTTTTTTTCCATTAGCAATACCTGTTTTATACATGGAAGGCTTAATTGTTTCCAGAACAGCTTCATTAACTTCTGAAAGTGTTACCAATACAGGCCTCCCCAGAGCCAGGGTTCTAATTAGAAAGAAAACTGGCCTTAGATTAGTTTGAAGAGTGGTGTCTTTTTTTTTGGAGAGAACTGGAAAGCTCATTCCATCATTGACAGAGTGTTTCTTCCAAAATGTAGGAATAACTGCCAGTTGTATGAACTCAGAAAATACCTGTGAGAAGTGAATGATTCCCACAATAAAACAACCTCTTCAGACAACCAAAAATAGTAATAATGATTATGTAAATAATGTTGAGATGTGCATTCAAGGTCTGTGCAGTTCAAGCAATGTCCTTTATGACCAACACTCTGTGTCAGCCCCAAGGTCCCTGTCTCAGTGAGTTGGGCATGTTTGGAGGTTGCCTTATGAGTGCTTGGGTTGCTTCCTCAGGTACCCAGACTGTCAGTAGTAATCTGGCCTTTGTCACATTTACACTGATTCTATATTAAACGTGCTTTAAGTCTGACCAAAAAAAAAAATCTATACAGGACTAAAGAGTGAGTGTAAATATAAAATATAAACTAAATTAAAATAGATGGATGAATAATAAAAACACAGATCCTATTACAAGTTAAAGCATGATATCAAGACTTGTTAAAATAATTTGAAGTTTTGTATTGATGGTCAGGCCTTTAAAATCTGTATGAAAAAAGTACCTGGATTGAAAATAGGTACTAAGGGAAAAGAAATTACCCCCAACTTTTTTTATAAGGATCACTGCCTGGTGTATCAAATGGGAAAGTTTCTGGCCAAGAATAAAAGACAGTAACCATCAGTTAAACCCTGGAACTTCCGTATTTTTTCCCATGAAGGTTGTGTTTTAAATATTTTCTAGGAGGATTTCTCTAGAAAGCAGAAGTGCATTATAGCTGCTACTTTCGAGTGAAGAGAGAGTAAAATAAACCCCAGATCCTGAGTAATGACTCAGGCTTATTTGCTTTTTGACCATTGCAACAATAGGAATGCCCAGTATGAAAATGTTCTGGCAGTTTAACAAAATTTGTAGAAGAAAGTCCACTTTCATGTCCTTGTCAGACAAAAGCACACTGAAAATGTGTGTACATGGTTCTGAATATAAACAGGGAGCATAGTCTGAGCAGCTAACATGGACTTATTTAAGTGGTCACAACTGATTGTGTATCTTAGAAATGTACTGTGATTAAACTAAAATGTTCTTTTTCTGGGGGTGAGGTGTGACTGTGAGCTTCATCCTGCTCTCTGTGCAGGACTGTCAGTGCTGAAGAAAGTTTCTGTGTTCTTGCTGACATTTCAGAAGTTGTGAGCTACGATCTGTACTTGCTACATTGGCAAAAGAATAGGACAGGTCACGCCATCTCAGCAGTGAAACTGTCAGTAACAAGGATAATCCTCAGTCTCAACAGCAGTTACAGGAAAGTTGATGCTAAGGTCAGGCAACAAGGCAAGACCAATACTAGTGCCAATGAACCTGTCAACATTAAACACCTCTTTTTCAGAGTGGTACTTCAACGCTTCAATAGTCTGTGCTTCAGACTGTGTCTTGACATGGTAGGGGGTTTTCCTTTCATTTGGGTGAAGCTAAAGCTGTCAGACCTACTAGAGGCCAAGCAGACAAGGCCAGAAACAGGACAGACCTTTAGAGTCTGAAGGTGACATTGAAGGAATCCAACATCAGACACAAAAAATGCCCAAGAAATTTAAGATATTTTACACTCTGTGCATGTACTTGTCTTACAGAGCTTGGCAGCCACAGGGGTGCTAGCATTGCTGCTTCCTCTGAAATTGCAGTCTCTATCAGATTGTGTACTGAGGAAAGGCATAAGCTTATACTTACACCATGGATGGTGTCAGAATTCACAGTTCCTGCATCACCTGAAAGAAATGACAAGACCAAGCAAATTTTCCAGTGAAATCAACACATGTTTAAGTCCATTAAGGGAAGAATTTCATCTACAGAGAAAATAATTTTTAACAACAGTTTTCCAATCAACCTACAAGAGCTCAGTGCTGGAAAACAAAAAAACTATCCTGTCACTGTGCCCTTTGCCCATTTTGAAAATATTTCCAAGTGTGATACTTTATTGTTCGTATGTCAGCTTGACATTGCAACAGTTCCAGTGAGAGGTTATAACTTGAGAGATTTCTCCCGTACCAGACTTGATGCCAATGGCCTTTGGAAACTTTTGCCCACCTTCTTCCACTCAGCATAACTAGGTGCAAAATAGTTGCAGCCAAGACAAGTGATCATCAGCAGGAGGAACTGTATTTCCTTGCCTTCTCCCAGATCTAGGTGAAAAAGCAGCCACTCCTTGGCAATGGGCTTTATGCCAAGTGCAGCAGTAGCTTTGTTAGGGCAATCACTCAGCTTCATTATTACCTCATTTTTATCAATTAGCTGATTGAAAGGAAGGATTAGTGCAAGTTCTCTTTCTGCGCTGTAATCTGTGATAAATTTGAGAGGTGTTGGAATATTTACTACTGGGTGATTGGCAGCTGGAGCCTCAGAACTAGTGATGGTTTATAAATCCTTTCCGAACTCTGCTAGGGAACAATGATACCAGTCTGGGAACATTAAAGGAAAAAAAAAAAAAATTTAACCGAGCCTTTAGAAATCTGTATGTGCTTAGTAGAAAGTTGATAAAAGGGAACAGCTGCATCATAAAGAATCTATACCCATAAAGTAAGCTCAGACCTCTGCTTCTTTCTTGACTAACTCAGCACCTAAGAAAGCTCACTCTCCTTAGAATCATTTTCAGACTTTACATCTGCTGATCCCTGACAGCAAATGATTAAAAAAAAAAATTCTCTTCACCGCTTCAAGAGAAAAACTGAGTTTTTGTAAACTGGATATCTCTCTCTAATCAAGCCCGGGTAGGGATGGTTACTAGAATTAACAATGGTGAGTTTACTTCTTCAATAGGAGAGAGAAAGAGAACAAAAGATATTTGATGGGGTGTTGGGATACAAAATGAAAAGCAGGATTGTCTGGGTGAAGAAATCACATGTTGCTAAGATAGAAACGGATATCTTAAGAGTTCTGTGAAGTTGGCACCTGATCCTTTTGCATATCAAATAAAGTAAGGGTCTGGTGGAAATCACTCTGCCATCATGTAATTAATAATCATGTTATAATCTGAAAAAAATCTGTTTGCATGTGAGAACTTAGTTGTCTAATTTTATATACTTGAGTTTGCAACCACAGCAATGTTCTGTTAAGGTAGCTTTGGTGTGTAAGGCTGGATATTGCAGGAATGGAGAAGATGGAGTCTTAATAAAGATTTTGTTGCTTCAAGCTTGTACTGACTGCATTGTTCACTAGTGCCTATATGAACAGGAGCATTTTTTTCATAGTTTCCTTCTAATGATGGTACCTGTGGTAAAAAAATCCCCAAAACCTACTAATAGGCATAAGTAAAGGTCACATGCCAAGATATCATTGAAGGTCTCAGAATATTATGATAGTCCAAACTGTTTGTACTTGTTGTGGGCTACAGTTAGAATAGAATTATGCCGTTAGATTTGGGATTTGATCCCTGAAATAACACAACAGATATTTTCCTTTCTAAGCATTTTTTAAGAAACCAGCTCATTAATAAATGACAGTTTTTGAAGGATATTTTGACAGGATTGGTGTAACAGGGCATGAGCAGAAAGACAGTCCTAGAAACCAGCATTCACATGGTTAAAGGCTTACATGCAATTGACACCTGCATGACAAACTGGATGCTGGAAGATGCAGCTGCTACTGCTTAACTTCCATCCATCTGCCCCATTACCTCAGCAGATCAGTTGTTATATGTGCTAGTAACCAGGTGCGCACAATGATTAATTTGATAAACTCTTTTTCTACTGTTGAACAAATTTAGGCTCCGAACAAAGAAAGTTGTGGCCTACCTAACCTGTAACTGATAGCAGAATGTCCGAAACACACAATCCAAAACACAGAACCATTTAGGCTGGAAAAACCTCTAAATAACTAACTTTGGGTCAGAAAATGTGAAAGAGGTGCCAACAGAGAATACTGTCTTAAGACATTAAAAGGCTGATTTTAAAGAGGAATTATACCACCTGAATTGATGTTAGGTTCCAGTTGATTTTCTAGATGTATTCCTTCTGCTGGGAAAGGAGGCAGCCTTTCAGAAAATATGAATTTTTAGTTTCCTCTGCTGCAAAGAATAGTTTTAGAAGAAGGACATGCTTGAAGCTATTTGCTACAAAATGTTTAGGTTGGCCAGAGAGCTTGAGACTTCACAAATATGCCTCAAATATGCAGTGCAATGGAGTTTCAGCATAGTGTACATCCCTGATATAACTGATGCTTAACATGCTGTTTCAAAGGCATCCTTTCAAGAAAATTTCGGTAGACCCAATCTCCAGCCTGTCCACAGGGTAATTGTGCAGATCCACACCATATTTAGTGAGAAAATGACACTTTCTATGTTAGAACCTTAACATATATTGGTCTGATCAACATTCTTTGAATGACACGATTGCACAACAAAGTCAGTAGCCCCACAACTCTGTTCTTGCCAGTTAATTTTGGTAGAAACATGTAGATACTGTTTTTTGGTTGTGGGGTTTTTTTGTGGGTTTTTTTTTTTTTTTTTGTTAGCAGGGCTGTTCCTTTTAGGAGTCTGATAGCAGCAATATACTTTCCATTTTGTGTGTGTCATTTCATCAGGGACAGAAAGATATCGATGAAGTACGAAGAACAAATGCGGAAGGACAAGTGGTTAGTAGAAATCACTAAACTCCAATGCTAAAAATATCCTGTCCCCACCAGTTTAAATTCACACCTACTCCTCTGAGTAGGTAAGAAAAAAAAGAAAATTTCCATCTGCAGCTTTTGAAACTCCATTTGTCTCCTGAGTACTGAGCACCAGATCTTCAGCTGGTAGTGCTGAAACCCTACCATGTTTCTGGCAGATCCATTCTTCAACACCAGAGTGCCAACTTGAGTGTCTAAATTCCATATGACCTCAGCAGTACTTGAGGGCAAACAACAATTGCCTGGGGATCTCACAGGATATTGTCAGCCTGACTGGGCTAAGCTGGGTAGTAGAATAGAGCATTTTACAGTTGGGTATAATGTGCAATTCATTCCTTAGCCTCTTCCTGACTGTTCCCAGCTCTGCCTCTAGCACTGCTGCTCAAACATACTGCTTTTCTAGAGCTAGGCACTAGCTCCTAATGAAGCCCATCAGCAGTACATTCACTATTCAAAACGGGGGGATGACCATCTCAAAGCAAACCAGACACCAGAAATAACACTGCAGTGTGGACTTGGACTGGGCAGTGAGCAAAAAGGATGGCATCAAAGAGCTGCAACATGCATTTACAAAGTCTAGGTGAAATGAGCACAATAGTACTCCAGGCTGGAATGTAGTTGCTGGAAATGTGGTCACAAAGGTCTTTTTGACTGGTTAAGGCTGTTAATGAGAAAAATTACATCGCTTCTAATTGGTATGCATGTTAAAAGCTGTGCCCCAAACAAATGGAAATCAGATAGGATTCTGAACAGACTGTGTAAAAGAAGTCCCAAGGAGTGGAACTCAGAGAAAAGGAACTTGCTGGTAAAACAAGTTAATTTTACCAGTCACTGCAAATAATCTCAAACAGATTCTTTATACTTGCATATTTTTGTGATGTCAAGCTGTAAGAGCCCAGAAATTTTCCAGAGCTTGTTGCAAATGCTATGGTTCAGTGGAGGTCTGAGACTCTTTGGGACAAGACTGAAGATCCCCTCTCTAGCCTCAGCGAGTCACCAAAGGCTATGGGTACTGAGACTACAGCTGTGGAAAAGATATACAGATATGCTGAGTACTGCATATTGTCAGTTTTCACAGGGAAATCAAGGAGGCTTTTATAGGATTGTGTAAACCTTTGCAACAGAGCAGTACCATAGCACCATGTGTGGACCAGGTGAGCCGTGGCCCAGCAGGCTGCGTTCTCTATACCAGGGCTGTGGAAAACCAGCTGTGATTGCAGCTATCATCACTGAGAAAACAGCCAGGATGAAGAGAATTAAACAGTCTGAAACAATTATTGCATAAGAAATTGTTCCAGAGGGAATCAAAAGGTGCAGTAGGAAAAAAGAACTAGTTTGGTGGAATCTACTACTGCTGTTATGAAAATATTGATTTGGAAAATAAGTTCTGAGGTAGTAATCTCTATATGATACAAAGGTAATTTTCCAGTTGACAAACGTTTTTTCAGAGGGGAAGAAAATCAGCCTGACTTCTGTACTTCTGTAGTTATAGGAATCCCTTTTCCAAATTTCTCATCTATTCATATATTTCCATATTCCCTGGATTTTTTAAAAGCAGTTATTCATGGCTGCAAGTGCAAACATCTGGTCAGTGGGAGGGAGTAAAAGGTAGCCAGAATAAAGAACAGTTGTCTGGAGCACAGACAAATCACTGAAGAACTTTGCTACTTATTTCTTGATTTCTTCTTTTTTTTTTTTTTTTTTTTTCCCTTTTTATGGCTTGCGTTGGTGGGATTTACAGTCTAAGAGCTAACTCATCTCATTGTTAATGCTGGTTCTCATCTGGGAATAGACACATTTAAATGCTCATACTGTTGTGGGCACTGAAATTTAGCAAGCCTTTTTTTAACAGTGCTATTCTATAAAAAGCATAGGGAATGCCCATAAGAGGATCTTTTCCTTTAGCAAAAAGACACAACCTGATTAGAACATTACATAATCTTAATATATCTTTGGTATTTAATGCAGAACTCACACCCTAAGGTGCTGGGGATAACAGCATGCTGGAAAATGGAAAACTGCCAGTCTGGTGACTTTTTCATGGTTTGCCCAGAACTGATGGCAATTGCTAGATGAGAAGAAACACATGAGAGGAAAAGAAGGATGGCTGCCAACACTAAAAGTCACTGTTGCTCTTTCTTCTTCAGCGAAGACAAGAAGCCAATGCTCCAGCCATAAGCAGGAAGGGGTTGGTGGAGGATTAAGGAGCAGTGACAGATACTTGGCCTCTGGAAGAGGTTGAGAATGTCTGAGTGAAAAGATGGTCCTTGAATGCAGATCTCCAAAACTGAACGAAAATAAGTATTAAAAACACATGAAGGGGGGGAAAAAAGGAGGTGGAGAGAGGAATAGGTCAGAAAGAAGAAATTGCAGCATGATAAAAGAAAAGGTGGGGGTGAACAATGGAGCCAGAGACCTATGAAAATAAATGAAAATAATGAAGGAAAAACACCAGCTGCTGTTTCAGTGAGCTGAAGCAAGTAAATAAGATGAAATCTGGGAGAAAGTCACAGAGAATAAACACGGAAGGCTACAAACCTCATTGCAGCTCACAGCTTTCCCAGTGTGCGGAATGACTAACTCCACCATCTCATCCAACTTGTGAAATATTCAAAATACCATTAGTTAATTTTGTAACCTCCTCCCTGGAAATGCAGTACACTTTTTATACCACTGAAGATGTGCCTCACAAGTGGAAATAGTGGTTAATTTGACTAGTTATTAACTGTTGAGCCCAACTGTTCCATCAGTAACCACCTTGAAAAGGAAGACCAGTAAATGTGATGGCAGTGGAACATTAGTGTGTAAAACAGTGATCATTCTGTAGAGGTTAAATGGAAATGGCAAAACATCTATGCTGGCTCTTGCCCACTCTGAGCTTGTGCAGTATCTAAAGTCAGTCTCCAAATGTTACATACAAGAATGAAGTCAAGATAAAAGATTTGAGCCTCTCCCTGATCTGATCTCTCATGAAAAGGAGAGGACAGTTTAGGAATAGCATCAAATGTTGATGAACACAGAATATAAGCAGGGACTGATATATTTTATTTATAAACACAGTATAGAAAACAACCCCCAATTTCCTGGAGTTCTTGGCTTCTTGCTAGGACTCTTTTCCCTTTTAGTATTCAGTATGGATTATGTTCAAAGTAAATTCCTCTGTTAAATGTCAGCAAATCCAATAAATGCATTAGCATCTTATCTAAGCAGATTGTTCCAAGTGCTTTTACAATGGTTAGTACATTTTATATGCAGCAAAAATCTTTAGCAATATCTGTTTTCCTTAGTTTCCTGTTAATTTGGCAAGGACTGGCACACCAGGCTTCATCACAGACCAAGACTGCATCAGGCAGGATGAACTCCTGATGAACATTGACCACTGAGACTAATAATACCTAGTTATGGCAAAAGTTTCTCCTGTGTGGGCACTCGCAATTCTCCTCAAAGCAGATTGTGAGAATATTTGCAATATTTGCAGCAGCTTTTGTCTCTCCCTGTAAACTGGTGAAGCCCCCACCAAAATGCAAATGAAAATGCTGCTTTAGTCATACCACCAAGGTCTCATAGTTTCTGCTTCCAATTTTAATAGAAAGATTGTTAAAAAAAAAAAAAACAAAAACCCTAAACACATCAATAACCAAACCACCAAGACAAACTAACTCAGGGTACGAACTTAGACTCAGCTGTTGCCAGACAGAATTCCTTTTATCAGAACTTTATCCCAAATTTTCAAAGTCTAACAGTCCACATCTGCCTCCAGCAGGCAGCAGGAGATTCTGGCAAATTCAGTTATGAGTCTGGGCCAGCAAGAGGTTTCTGCTCATTTGTAAAGTACAATTTGAGTTGCAGTTAGATTTTTGTGTTGTGAGGGTTTCACAGAATGCAGTGCAGATGAAACATTTGAGTTAGCAAAATGACAGTCCAGAGTTTGCAATGCAAAATTAGACCAGATAAAATTGTAGAGGGAGCATTTTAAAGAGAAAGATAAGCAAATGTCACATTGGGGTTAGGGTCCTCAGGAAGTTAGAAGTGAAATTCAGTGGCTTCAAGGGTCTTTGGAAAATGGTAGCTTATTCCTTGGACAATGCAGTAACACACCAGCTGGTAGGGAGGGGTGATGCCAGATGCTTCAATGTGTGCAGTGAGGTGGGGGGGGAGAAGATGAAGTAAAAGGAATTTTCTCCAATCTAATAGGCAGCTAGAGGAAAATTATTTCAGGAATCAAAAGCATAAGGAGAAAAAATACAGTGGCCCAGCATACTGAAAACTGAAGATGAATGTAGAGCTCTCTTGTCTCCCAAAGACAGACATAATTTTCTCTTATTGGGAATTCTATTGTTCATGGCCATCTCCAAGACACAGGAGGATCATGGCTCTGGAATCTCACAAAGTTACAGCCAGACAACCATTTCCCCAGAAAGTGACAGAGGAAAAAGATTTGTAGCACTGGCAAGAGTGTTTCTAAAAGAGAAAAATCTGCTTTGAAGATGTTGTACACAATCATGTAAAGTCTCAAGCTGGAACTGATGTAAATCTCACATGGAGAAAGAGGGATGACAGAGCTGGTGTGGGACTTGCAGCCAGCTGTGGACCACCCCAAGAAGACTGTTTTTCACTTCCACATTAACTTCACAATATGCAGTTTTCAGTCCTGTTGATGTTGATACATCCTTCTGTTTCTAGTAGCTGCCTGTGCACAGTATGTATTGTGGTAGAGGAATAATGAATCAGAGAATGCTTTCTCATGAGACTAAGCTAAGCAAGATGCCTGTCTGGTGGTAGCCAGCTTCTTTACTAATAAAAAATTCAAACCATTACATCTTCTTCACTCTAGGGCTGGCTCCAGCACTCAGTCAGCCTCTTCCTCACAGAAAGCTGACAGTTAGACCAATTTTAAAGCATAAAAATCTCCTCATCTTGTCTTCTTCTTTCCCAAAAGAAGCTGAACTGAGCTTAAAAAACTAAAACCACGTAACCTAAACCCATAGTTTTAAGACGTACTTGTCCCCAGACAGGTACCTGATAAAGCAGCATTTTAAACCACTTTTCCCTGGCATTCTTTTCACCTATTACTCTTGACCTGTAAATCAGCTCTCAGGAGCAATGTAGTGACTGAAGCAACAAGTCCTGAGCCCTTTGTCGGACAAACACAACTGAAGGGACAGCTGAGAACATGCTTTGTAGAGGTAGAGGCAGCAATACTGAAAGCATTCATTGCCTTAGCAACTAGGACAACCTCTTCTTTAATTAGAACATCATGGTCTGAACTTTGCTAATAGAACCTGCCCACACTGCATGCTAACCATGGGTTAGGTAATCTCGCGCTTGCCAACACAGGCAGCCTACCACGCTTCTGCTTCCTGACATTCTCCACATGAGCACCCTGTTCTCAGGTCCCACATCTGCAGGCAGGCTGTGGGTGGTGTTAATGAATGATACATCCTTGTGGTTTCTCACCCTGGACTCATGATCTCCTATCCCATCACATATTTGTCTGGGCTGGCAGGCACAGGGTGCTATGGAACAGCTCCTGTGTGCTCTCTTAGGATTTGGGAGGTTACTGTCCATGACAAAAGAATTATTTCCTGGCATTAGCTTAGCAGATATGGCAGAGAAATAAGAGGGCTACCTCACTGCCCAAGCAACCCCCCTTGGCCTATCCTCCCCAGTTCTCTCCCTGCCACCCTCTTTTGGAGTTTCTTCACCTGTGGCATTACTGATGACTATATGCAATTTCTAAGATCCAATGGCACCAGCAATTCTGGAATACACTCTTCCAGATGATATGCCATATAGGTTTGTAGTGCAGTTATTTTCTGTTCCTTCCCTAAAATTGCAGGGAAAAAATGCTTATTAAAAACCTGATCAAAAGAAAATAGATATCTGGATGAAAACAAGCTTTGAGGGGAAAAAATTAGGGTTTACAAAGTCATTGTCGTAGCTCTGACTACCGCTCATTGAAATTTGTATCAACATAGCAATAGTAGCACTAAGTTAAGAGCAGAAAGTGAAACTGGTCTGAGTTAACACTGCTCAAATATTCTGGGCTGAATTCTGTACTGCCATTGGCATTAGAGAAGGAGGGTCCAAAGCTAGCATGGGTCTGTGTATGGGAAATCCTACCAAAGAAGTAGAACATATCATGCTCTGAGACAACAGGTCTCACTAAGTGGGAAAAATACAGCATTCAACAGAAGAGAAAACTACATTTTGATTGTTTAAAATGCTTTATTTAATAACACTCTGAACTAAGGAAGCAAACTCTTCTCTTTTTTCTCCTGCTATATTTAATTAATCCTGGGATTTAGGGAAAGAACACAAGATCTTATGCTGGGTTTGGAACGCCTGCTCAGCAAAGCAGTGAATGACACTACTTGTGGGATCACCTTCAGGGTACTTTCACCCACGATTTCTGTAAAACTGCACGACAAGATGTTTCTTAATTAAAATATTTACATGTTAAAAATGTTGAAGGAGAGGTTTTCACAATAATGTGGGGATGGCTTCTGTAGATATTTATTTAGGGTTTTGGTGTGGTATGTTTTGTTTGTTTCTAATGTTGAACAAGATAAGCAGAAAGAGAAAGCTGCTGCATCCTACAAAAGCAGAGATACGTATTCAAGATACCAGATATTCCTTATAAAGGTACACTCTTAGAAGCAAGAAATTGCACCTCAAAATCAGTAAATTCTCTGTGCACACAAGCATACCATACAGCATCAATCACACATAAAATATCAACCTTGCTTTATCAAATGCTTGGAATGCTTGGAATGCTGGCAAGAGGATGCTTTTCTTCTGTTCTTTAAAATGTCAAACTTTTAACAGATCATTGCCCCAACAGAATCAGCGATTCAGAGAAGTGCCGTGATCAAAGACGCCCACCATTCTTCTGAAGAGGAATTCAGGAAATGCAAGTTCAGCTAGTGTATAGAACTATCACCTCTTTGCTCTGGTTATGTGCATCTTTAAATTAGCCATTAGATAATTCTGCCACTTCACTGAACTTTCTGCATTGAGGATATTTATTCTTCCTTGTCCAGGAGGAATGACTTTAGTGGTAGTTATGGAAATAAAAGAGACAATAAAGCTCCCATGCAAATCTTATGTTTGGTGTATTTTCTTATTTGACTATAAAGTGATATTCCCAAAGGTGTGGAGTCAGGAATGTTTTAAAACTGCTGATGAGCATCACCCATTGCTATCTTAATTAAATAGTAGTGATTTACCCATTACAAAATACTTTGTTCCATTACAAAATCCTTTCCTACTGTATGGAGGCATAAAAAGAGTGTAATATCAACTGCATAAACCATTTCTATGGAATAGAAATAGTGAAGTTGACTTCCTCTTGTGAAGTATTTTGAGATCTACTCATGGAACGTGCAGTGGGGCAGGTAATTTCATTATTACTCTAAAAGACTCTTGCCCTTCTCTACACTGGCAGGTACTTGCTCAAGCAATTCAGATATGGGATGCTATCAATTCAGGGTGTTCCTTCCTTTAGCTGGAACAGTAATAGGACCTTGGAAACCACATAATAAAATTACCTTTCAAATGAAATCCGACATACTTGCACACCGCCACTTGTTTGTATGCACTGATCCCTCCACCTATGGAGAGATCTTGCTGAGAGTTCCTGTTGCATTCCCAGGATAGTGATGATGATGATACTGCATTGAACATCTCCTTGGAAGCCAGAAAGCCTCTATTGCTTCTGTAAACATCTCTGGCAAGCAGAGCTTGCGCTTCTCTTCCTGTGCCACCGAACCATGGGGAAGCAAGAATGAAAGCAAGAATCCCTCAATCAATTAAAACCTGGAATTTCTGCAATATTCAACCTTCCAAGATTATTTGCTTCTGGAATAGGAGAGCCTTCCCACATGGTGATGATTGGTGGGAGAGTAGAAGAAAAGCAACAGAAATTTCCTGTGAAAAGTTTTTCTTTTCATATTTTCTGTTGTGTGAAGATAGTCAGGAGAGGGTTTTCATAATTGTCCTTATTCTTTATGTCTCTCTTATCCTTTCAGAAAAGTCTGCAAGGTGTCAGCATCCCACACCCAAGGAATTTTTGTTCACTAATGCCCAGATTAGGGTACTCATGAAGATTCAGAAGAGATTTTATGATGTTTGTTTGCCAGAGCACATAGCTTTGAGAGGGGAAAAAAAAAGATAAAACTAAAATAGGTGTTTGGATTAAAAATACTTTTAAACTGTAAACTTTCGCATGAGAACTCCTGTCATCAATTTGCTTTTGCACATAGAGTGGGTTAAACCAGGGAACTTCCAATAGGTTTCCTGAATAGCAGGCAGATCATGTGTATGTTAAAGGTTTTCCTTTACCTGAGAGAATGGAGCCAGACTTCCTGGAGAAAGAGCACTGTGCATGCAATTCTGATTTGCCATTATCATGAAACACTCTTTAATGACAATGTATAGTGTGGGGAAAAACTGGTGAGCAATGCTAAAAGAAACTCATGTCAGTGCTATGATTTGTTGACATGTTTAAAACTCATCCCTGAAATGGATTGCTTTGAGTGATGCACTGACTATACAATGACCACGACTCTTGTCAGGAACCTCTTGTTTGCCAAAATGGAAGCTGAAGTCCCCAAAATCATGTTTGACATCCACCGGCAACATGGTGTGAGCAGGAGTGCCTCTGTTTCACACACATTTGGCCAGTCAGGGGGACTCTTGGGTTCACCATTCTTAATCACTTTATTATTGGATTGCTTTTTGGGCCACCCTGTGTGTATTAATCAAAAAAGTCCAGATCAAGAGAGGTCAAAAGAATGCCTCCCCAAATTTGCCACTGCCCTTTCCACAATTGAGATCACTCCTTTAAACTTTGGACCAACATTTTTCTTTATGGCATCAGTGGACTAGGGTAACATTTACTTCAAATGAAATGTATTTCCATAAGAGTGACAGAGGGCCCCTGTAGCCTTGCTTGCCTGCAGGAGCAGGGCAAGAGGAAATGCCAAGGGCAAGTCTTGCTCAGACCTGCAGTCTTGTTCCCTTTGGAGCCAGAATGTGTTTCTTTTTTTATTCTTCCCTTCAGCAATTAATTGAGTTCCTGTAGCAGAAGGAAGGATTGTTGACCTATACATTCACAGTGGAAAGGTTACTTCAATCAGAGGGGAAAAAAGTCAAAAACAAGAGAAAATGGTCCCCAAATTGTGTGTGTGCATCTGGGAAAGAAAGCTCTTCTACTCCATAACAGAGGTGTCAGAAGAGACCTCCTTTATGGTACTTCCAGCAATCATTCCAGATGGCATTTCTTACTGTTTTTAGTATTAACATGAGCACACTTGAAAGCTCCACTCCTAAGTCAGAACACACTGTTAGCAATTGTACAAATAATTTCACACTTTCCCTTCATGGGAGATCTTAACAACTCTTCAGGAAACTATACAGAGCAATTATCAGGCCAAAAATTTTGGTTTTAGTTAACAAAAAAGTCAATGAAAAAGCATATTCCTTGACTAGACACAGAATAAGAAACTATTAACCCCTTAACAAAGGATTGTTTGGAGGTTTTTTTTTCTTTTTTTTTTCTATTTTTTTATTTATGCAGAAGGTCCCTCCCTGTTATTTCCAAAAATGCCAGTGAAAATGCCATGTGAGGATGAGGAATAGATCTTATTTCCTCAATATGAATATGCACTGCCCTCTGGCTCTGGGCAGAGCTCAACTGTGAAGAGTCACAGGGACAGCACAGGTCCCTGGTAATTACTTCTGTGGATGGGGACAAATAATGGACTTCAGAAGCCTCCGTGGTCAAAGTACGTGAACCTTGTATCAGCCAGAGGTTGGGAGGGCTAAAGCAATTTCACCAGCTGTGTGATCTTTCTGTGAGTGGAGCAAGAGGCTCATGAGAGCACAGCAGAGCCTTTGTGTACACAAGTGAACACAAAAGCTTGATGCTCTTCCAAAGCAAGGACAGGGGAAGCAGTTAGTGTGAACCCTCTGATTCAAGAACAAGTACCTTAGGACATGACAGTAACAAGCACATCCTGCATGAAATCAGTGTCTGCAATGTTTCTAAAGGGTGTAGAGGACCTGTGTGTATCTGGGGGCTGTGGGAAGGGTGAGGTTAGGCAAAAGAGGAAACAAGAAAATGAAGTTTTTTAGTTAGTTCTTAAAATTACTGAGGCTAATATATTTCCTAGCAACCCTGACAGCTCATTTCTGACTTGTTGTCCTTTGAGCCAGCCACAGCACTAGTTTTTAAATTCCAGCAAGAAATTCAAAGCTGTTCAACAAGTCCTCAAACCATAATAAAACAATCACGTTTTCTGTATATAAGTTTGTACACAAGACAGTATGTATAATTAGTCATGCACAATCACCTGTATTTACTGAGTTTTCCAAGACAAATGCATCCTCCTGTTTACAACATTTTTTTCCTCAGAGACTGCACAGCGATTGCTTTTCACATAATAAAGGTGATTTATTTCCTTGTTGCATCACTTCGAAAATGTGGCTGCTTCTGGAATGATACTGAGCCAAATGGTTTAGGTATCTGGCCAAGAGTAAGTCTGTGAAGTTGGAGCAAGTAAGAGTTCAGTTCAGCTCAGTGCCAGTTCCCCAAATTGCTATACTGTACCAGTTTCCCTAAGGCCCTTTCTTTACAGGCCAGCATCTCTCCTTTTGACCTTGGACCTTTTAGTCTCATGTCCTTGTGACAGTGCCTTGTAACATGCTAAAGGTATGGCACATTTCACCTGTGGTTTTGCACCAGGCCACGATGCAACATTTTACTCAAAATCAGCCTGTGGCTGCACAGAGGTAAGCAAAATTTGCAGTGTCTATAGTGAACACAGCTGTACCTTGAAATATCCATCCACAGATAGACTGAAAACCTGACTAGACAAGGCTTTAATGAACTCAGTGTAAATTTGAAGTCAGTTTAAAGCATGAAGGTTGAACTTGATGTCCAGCTGAGACCCCTTCCCATCTAAAGTGTTCTGTGGTTTTTCACAGAAGCCAGGCATGACAAGGAGTATGATGTGAAGTTGAATTAAGTCAGACTGCCCTGATTCACTAGAGCTGGTGTAGAAGTGACCAGGTCACCAACAAAAGTCATCCCAGCTCACTCACACAGATGTTTGGTGAAAGGTGGAGTGCTATGGAGCAAGGCCACTAACTGAGTGCTGATCTCAGCTCTGGAGCAAGCAGCAGTCACCTACATTCAGACAAACAAAAGCATCTCCTTCCTGTAGATTTCAAAGTTTCCTCAGTCCTACCTCAGGTGCTGAAAGGAGTAGTAGTTCCCTGCTCATGACAGACTCTTAAGTGTACACAAGAAAGACTTGTCATTGTTAAATAAGTCTTTTGGCTCTAGATCTTGTCTTACTTTCCAAATTCAGTATTGCTGTCCCACCAAACTGCCTTTGGAACTGATTTTAGGGCTTCTGTCAGAAAAGTCAGCAGCAGAAAGACTCTTTTATTTCTAAGTAACAGAGCTATGCTAGAGACTCCAAAGGTGCCTCTGATTCTTGTTGCTTGCTGGAGAACTTTCCTGGGGGTGTGCTATCTTGAGGAAATTAGAGCAGCTCCCAGAAACTCTGCTTCAGTTTCAACAGGAGTCCAGAGCGATACAGAAACGATGGGTATGATTCACTTCTCCAGATTCATCTTGTCTTAGTGTAGGTGTCTAAAATAGGTCAAATGAATCACAGCCTAACATTCCTGCTTAAAAGACAGTCTACTTGCCTTGCTCAGATACGTTTTCATTCCAAATGATTCTCACGGACAGTTCTGACACTCAGACCACAATAGGAATGGTAGATGTATTTTCAGCTATATTGACATATCAAGTAATCAGTATAATGAAATTACATATTTCAATGCATTTGAAATAATTGTAACTCTTTTATGAACATTACCCAAATGGTAATTTCATAATTTCTGGGTTCCAGAGTGAAGGCAGGAATGTTAGGCTTACTGACCAAATGGTGAATATTTCTCTAGAGAGCTCCAAACATCAGTCACAGATCAACAAAGACTTCTCCATCTTCCAAATCCCAAGACCTCTCTTCTACCTTTACATTCACCATGACAGGAGATGCATTATTTATATCCAGGAAAAGACAGTTTAA